GTTGTTTTCGTTTTCAACGTTTTCATTTTCAGTCCATACTATAATTCATTTTTTCCATCTCTCTTTCTCCAATCAACATCGATTCTTGTCTTTGAAATTCTCCATAGCTATTCTTCTTCTTCTAAAATCTCTGAGATCGTGATTTACTTATCAAGCACCAGACCCAAAAAAAATAAAAATAAAAATTCAACTGAGGAGCACCACTGTGGAAACCCATCTCCCCCGATCCAGACCCATCGTCTAGTTTGCCGCACCGGCACCTCCAAAGCACGTTCACCACCAAAGCAATCGAACCATAACTGCCACAAACCCAGTTGAACCACTATCACCACCCAATCGAACCACCACCAACCATTAACAAATGAAAACAGAGAGAGGATGGGTATGAAGAGAGAAGAAGAACAGGAAGAATCAGAGAGAGGAAGAAGAAAATAAAAAATAAGAGAGGAAGATGAAGAGAAAGAATCTATAAAATTGTTAAAGTCCTCACCCGTCTGAGGCAAGAAAAGAACTTACTTGGGAGATATTCCTCACCCAAATTCACAATCGTTTGTTTGCAGAAATCAGTAACTTGGGGCGCAAGTTATCTACTCCAAACTAAGTCTGCTAGAATTTTTATTGCTAGCAGTGGCACGCTCGCACACCAAAGAAAGCTGACTTGTCGACCAGTTTATGGTTCTCAAGGCAGTGGGGAACTTTGCCCTTCCATCACAGGAGTGAACGCAAAACGGGCAAACACTAAATAAGAAATAAGTGTTGAAGTTCCTATAAATTACATCTCTACCATTGATTAACTTAAAACAAGCCCAACACAAAAAACTCAAAAAGAACCCAAAACAAGCCCAACCCAAATTTTAAAAAAAAACCCAAACTAAAAAAAAAACGTGAAAATCATGGAGCTGTCCTTACGACCCTTTTTTGTCCTTACGACCCTTTTCCACTGAACTTCCGTACACTGTTAATATCATGTGATAGAAGTACATTGTTAATACCATGTGATAGAAGTACATTATTAATACAATTTCATAGAAGTACATTGTTAATACGATATTATAGAAGTACATTGTTAATACTATGTGATAGAAGTACATTGTTAATACCATTTTATAAAAGTACATTGTTAATACCATTTCATACAAAAAATTTATAAAAAAAAACTATAACAGCCCAACAAGACATCCGTTATCTTGTGCAGAAACCACCTCTAATTGTTCATAGTTTCACCACATACAATCGCAAAGGCAAAAGGAAATACCTTTACAAAAAGAAAAAAAAGTACAATGTTAATACTATGTCATAGAAGTACACTGTTAATACTATGTCATAGAAATCAACTCAGTTGCAGGGTATGAACAGTTATTATACTGTTCATACCACTTACTGGAAGTTAACAACTACATCATTTCATTTACATAATCGGTACGATAAAAGTGTACAACTCCATACCACTCAAAATCAATTACATAATTTCATTTGCATAATTAATTGATCCTTCATCACTCCACATACCATAAACATTGAATCAGAGCAACTCCCACACATACTGCTCATCATCATTGTGCTTGGTAG